ATTAATTATTAAAATTTATTAAAAAATTAATTTTAATCTGCATCAAAGAGCGGCTAAATCATTATTTAATTCTAGTCATTCGTCAATAAGTAAAAGGGATAATTGCAGCAACAGTATTAAACCTTTTTTTAGTAGCAAACTTTACCCAAATTTTTCATTTGTGTCACCCACAGTACCAAACATTTTAGAATGTTGCAACAAAAGTCCTAATGAACTACTTCTATTAGTTTGACCATTAGTTGACCAAGATAATTTTGAGAATAATTTAAACTAATTTTAAAATGTTCAAATGGTAACTTTACATTTTTAATAATAAAATAACTGAAACCAAATCATTAAAATTAAAAATCAAAAACCCACCCCACCCACTTTTTGGACCCGAAAACCAGTGCAACCACGCCAGCAATTACAACAAACTCCAGCTCAACCACGACGACAATTACAACAAACTTTGGTATTCCGAGCCTAAAAAGGCAATTACACGAAAGCCCCCTTTTCTCACTCTTACTGGCTCATTTGGACCGATTCACAACCAGGTGAAGACCAACTCGTTATTAACATGATTGCCAAAGAACACTGAGCTCGATGAAGAGAAAATAGTAGTAAATCTCGTAGTATGTGTAAGTTGAGTTTTGTAGCAATAACGAGAGATGAAATGGTCACCATTTGTTAGAAAACTATCTTTAATTTGTAAAATTGATTTTAGGAAGTGAAATTCGTTCACTGGTTGGTGGTGAGTAGATGTTTAGTTGATTACTGCGAAGAAGATGGCAGTGGTGGTAGTGGGGGAGATGTCAGTGATGATGATGGTTTTGGGACGTGGATGAAGAAGATGAAGTTGGTTTTTGTTTTTAATTTTAATGATTTGATTTTAGTTATTTTATTATAAAAAAAGTGTAAAAGTTACAATTTTAACATTTTAAAATTAGTTAAAATTATTGTCAAATTCAAATATTTTGTCAACTAACATTCAAACTAACAGAAATCGTCAATTTGGACTTCAGTTGCGACATTTTGAAAGATTGGATATCGTGTGTGGTACAAATGAAAGGTTTGGACAAAGTTTGCTACTAAATGAAAGATTAGGTATTGCTGCTGCAATTATCCCTAAATAAAACAAAAGCAAGTCGTGTCGGATCACTAAATTTGTCCCCTCTTTTTGACCGATGATATATTTAAAGTATGTTTGAGCCACATTATTTTGGAAGAATGTATTTTAGAATCGTAGATTGATAGAGAAGTTGTGGTTGAAAAAGAAGGAAAAATTATTGAT